ATGCAGCCTCTCGTAAAAGCAGAGACCCTTGGTGCTGGAACCCAGCGACCCCTCCCAACCCCTCATGCTGGAAGTGCCCTACTCCAGCGTCTGTGAGGTCACCTCTTAAGCCATGAGGTTACTGGGCAGCTGCCCTTCCCTCCGACTCCACCGTTGATTCTGAGCAGAGAGGACTTGATAACAGCAAACCCTGCTCTTGGGGAGGTGGGCTGCGCATTGAGAGAACTCTCTGCAGCCAACTGGAAGACCTGGGGTCCCGAGCACAGCCCAGCTTGTTGTAGCTGGTGTTTGCATTCAGCTGTAGTGACTATCTGGTCCTTTGCAAGAGTCAGTGACCTTGTGTGCCTCCAGGCGGGCATATGGCGCGGCAGCCTTGCGCTATGGGGCTTGGCTGCTGGCGAAGTTCATTCACCCACTTATTCACTTGCTGATATTTCTTGAGCATTTAGATCACGCTAAACTCTATGCCAGGTACAGGGTGGAAGGGGTGCAGAATCAGATGGGGGAGAGGGGTGAGTGAGGAGGGTCCCTGGCGGCGGCAGGACACTGTGGTGTCGTACATATTAGGGGGCACCACACATGTTAGGAACTGTCACGAGACCAATGCCCCCCGAGACCAGAGGGTGGAGGGAGCAGTCCCAGGCTCCAGATCTTTGCTTTCATTTTAAGCCAGGAGAAGACGTTAAGAAGAGGTCTAACATGGTCAGATTTGTGTTTTGAAAAAGGTCACTCTGGGGTGCCTGGTGGTTTAGTCGTTAAGGGTCCGTCTTCTGCTCAGGTCATGATCCCAGGCTCCTGGGATGGAGCCCCAGTCGGAGTATGTCTATGTCGGATCCTCTGCTCAGTGGGGACTCCCTCTGCCTCTGCTTGCTGCTCCCCCTACTTGTGCTCACTTGCTCTCTGTCAAATAAATACATAAATTCTTAAAAAAAAAAAACAAAAAACCCAAAAACCCAGAACAAAGAAAAATGTCACTCTGGCTGCAAAGCAGAGAATGGATAATATGGGAGCTGGAGTGGAATAAGAAGACAAAAATCATCTGCTCACCACCCTAAAGCATAGGGTCTGCTCCCCATCATCAAATTTTGGGTGTCCGGAAGTTGAACATATTACTTATGTACTTACTCAAAAATTAAACTCCACAGAGAGGGTGGGGAAAAGTCACTAAAAGGAGCCATTTATGTATTGCATTTTTATCTGGGTCACTGAAAAATCTCCTTCTTTAACCTTCTCTGACATCCAGACACTGCTTTTAGGGGGGTTTTCAGAACAATTTCATACTCTACAAAGAGCGCTGCGCTAGGAGTTCAGAGACCTGAATTCCCATCTTGGCCTCTCCTCCAAGTCTATCTCCCTGGCTCATTAACTTTCTTATAATGGCTTTTGAGGATGAAATAAGATGACAGAGGGAAAAGGGCAAACAAACACTAAGGCTCAGAGCATGCTGTTCCTTTCGTGAAAGACCTTATTTAAGTAGCGTTTAATACATTTTAAATATACTTTATATATGATTCAGTGGATAAATATTAAAGTATGTATTATTCTTCTGAAGCTCTCACATAAGGACAAGAGGATCTGGAGTTTGCTGTTTTATCCAACCCTGAAAATTCACATTTAGCCTCAGGAGGAAGAGTGACATTGGTGAGGATGGGTGTGATGCGTTCCCTTTTCTTTTTCTTCTTCTAGGTGAGTCCCCTGAAGAATGAGGGCTCTCATCTTATTGGCAGGATCTGCTACTGTAAGTTACCTACCCTTTTCTTCTTGTGAAAGGCAAGCTGATACCTGGGATTTTCGAGGGCAGAGCTCCTTCAACTGTGAACACATTTATGCATAAAGAGTCTTTTGCCTTGATTTTGCGGGTCAGGGACTACAGTCCTCCCAGGGATCTGAAACCTCCGTACAGAGACGAACCCCTCAAAGCCAGTTCAAAGCAGTCCTGTGTCTAGGCGAGTGGGAGGAGAATATTCTCTGCTCATCAAATTCTCTGCCTTAGAGAGTTTTTGAGTAACATTTTCACACTTGACCAATCACAAGTGGCAAGGGAGCATCATTTCCGCAAGATGACAGAGGGTCTACAAAGTCCATCATGGAACTAGCCTCTTACCCTCAGCTAGGAAAAGTAAGGGCTCGACGAACATGCTATCTCAGTCTATCCTTGTTTTAAGAATCAGCCCAGGACGATACAGGCTTGAGAGGGAGAATTCACTTCATCGGAGTTAAAAGGGAACACTGCTTGAGTCCTTTATGGTTCTATCCCCATCCTTCAGCACCAGATCCTTTTTGCCTCTCCTAGTTGATAATTAAACATGTGAAGGAGGCTGTGTGATCTCAGGCAATAGCTTTTAAAGAGGGTCTGGATTTCAAGAAAGGCACCAGTCCTGTTCTGGTTTTTGAACTTGAATTTTTTTTTAAAAATTTTTATTTTTTTAAAAGATTTTATTTATTTATTTGACAGAGAGAGGCAGCGAGAGAGGGAACGCAAACAGGGGGAGTGGGAGAGGGAGAAGCAGGCCCCCTGCTGAGCAGGGAGCCCGATGTAGGGCTTGATTCCAGGACTCTGGGATCCTGACCTGAGCCGAAGGCAGATGCTTAAAGACTGAGCCACCCAGGCTCCCCATCGTTGGTGCTTTTGAAAGAGAGCTAAGTGTCTCAGGTCTGGTGCCTCCTCATGTCAGGTAGCCTGGGGTTGGTGGATGCCTTTGGAAGGGACAAATGGCCAAATGGTTTGCCAGTTCTGTTGGGGTGCCTTTAATCTGGGCTTTCTTTCTGAATGGGCTCTAGTGTAATGCTTTTATTTTCTTAATTATATTTTGTTGCTGGTGGGAAGTTATTCACAATACACCAAGAACTATTTTCATCAGAATGTATCCTCATTATTAAGCCTCTACTTTACCCACCCAGAAAAAGGTCACATGGGTCAAGGAGAGTAAGGGAGATTAGACTTCAATCCAAATCACCCCTGTGATGTCCAGGGTTGGTTGGAAGTTTGCTTGTCTTTGTCCTCATTGCTTGGTAAATGCTCCTTGGCAGCTAGAACTGTTACTAAGGCCATTCCCAGAAAGAGGAGGGCTGGTCTTTCAGTTAAGCCTGCATGAGCCATGGTATCTCCTTATTAGAAGTCCTTCTTTAGGTGCTGAGTCTTCGGCTCAAATTCTATGTAACAGCTATGCATTTAATACCCAGGCAGTGGGGATTTGGCAATAGAAAAGGCTCTGAGAATCTCTTAAAATTATCCTGTGTTACAGATCAATCCATTTTTTTTTCCACTTACGAAGCCCTTTGCCATACATTATCTCATTTAATTCTCAAACCATCAAGAAAACAAAATAGGGATTATTATTTTCATTTTCAAGATAAAGACACAGAGATCTCTGACACTTGCTCAGTGTCACACTGTTGGGATCGGAGCCCAAGGCCTTCGTCTCTGCAATGGTCAGTCTGCTCTCCTCACCACCCAGACCTCAGGATCAGGTTGGGCTTTCCCAGTCTGGCCGTGAGTTTATCGAGTATGTTCTGCAGTCATGGCCACAGGGATGCACCGGGCTTATCAGCAAATCTGACAGCACAAGACTGCCTCTGGGTTTTTCTAGGCAGAATCCCTTGGTAAAAATTGCTTCCGGTGGTGATATAATCTAACCCTATTCTGTGCATTAACTGCCTTAGGCTTTTTTAAAGAATTTATGGTGGCTGTTGCACTGCTTACACCTAAACCAGTAGCCTGAACACCCCCTGACACGGTGACTGAGGCCACTGAAAGTGAAAGGGGAGCCCTGGGATCAAAGAGGTGAGAGATCAGGGGGAACACCAAGCCTTCACCAGAGGCTCCAAACCCAAATGTGAAGGCTGGTCGGTGAAGTCAGCGGGTGACGTAATCCAGCGGGGGCAGAGGGCGAGTCAAATGTGCGCTCCTTATGAAAGGGTGTCCGGTGCCCAGCATCAGCTGACAGGTGTCATGCTTCTAATCAGGCCCAAGGTTGTCAGATCTTGTGGTGTTTTTCTAAGAGGATCTGGAAATCTAGAATCTGATGCAAATTCTCCTGATTGGATTGTTAAATATTAATAGCGGATTCGAACCTTGTTAAGCCCAGGTGGGTCAAAAGCAAACAAATCAATCCTGTGACTCTCTTTTGCAAACTCTTCTCTTTATATTTGCAAGTAAATAATTTTTAGAAGAAATGCACCAGGACAGAAAGATGTGGTCAGAAGCATTTTTATTTTCAGAAGTGTCCTGCATCTTTTCCACATTTGTGAGAAAGCCTCTTGGAGCCAGGGTGTGGACAGAGCTTGGAAATGACCATTTTTAGGCAAGATATGTTTGAATAGGCCCCTTTCTACTTTTGAACAACAATTTTTGCCTTTCCCTATGTCTGTTGTCTGTTGGATGATGCAAAGTCTCCCTACAGCTGCCACAGACAGCAGGCTGGAGCAGAGGTTCTGTACAGACCCCTGCTCAGGAGCGAACACTACATCTTTCCTTCCCATCCAAGAAAGCATGGGGGGCCTACATAAGTGAGAATGCTAAACATATGGGAGTGGACTTCCACTGGCCTTAATTAATTTTTTAAAAGTAAATTCATCACAAATAATATTCTATCATTAGCAATGGTTCACGTGTGACCAACTCACAAATCTCAGGACAACGTGGTTAAGAGATGTTTCAAAAAATAAAAATAAATAGGATATGTTGCTAAGCTTCTCAGTAGACCAGCACTCCCTATATCTCTGGCATTTTCAGCCAATGCATGATTTCAGCCAATACGGTGACGCCCCTGGTTCACTCACCGTTATGGGATTGGTTACAAGGACCTTGGAAATGTCACCAGAGACACTTGGACTCTTGAGGAAAGACAAAAGAGATAAAAGACCATGTTCTCCAAAGCAATCAGTGAGTCTGCACCCAAACATTCTCGGCTCTCTAACTGGCAACAGGCTGTCTGCACTTGAACTGCTGTTTGGATAATGTGAAGTCAAGACCTGCCCACCAGCATAAACCAAGAAAAGCATTTCCATGCTGTTCGTATTCTTTGCTCCATGGATTGATCCAGAAGATGCAGAAACCGAACACTAGAGCTTCCCTGTTACCTCCTAATTTAGAATGATCTGTTCCCTTTTCAACTGCCTCAGAAAATGAAAATTCAAGAGGTGGGAATAGAAACTAGATTCAAGAAAGAGGAGCGAGACAAAGAGGACCTGGCAATCTGATACAGCGTGCCTCTTGGGGGAAAGTTGTCTGGATCTCAAAGGCGGACTATCACAAAATGAGAGCAAAAGCAAGTCTATTTTTTTCTAGGTTGCCACCGGGAACCAATCTAACCTATTTACAAGTGGTCTCAGGGGAACTCTCTTTAAATAGCTATCTTGTCACCATCCTTTTCGTCATCTTCCATGATCACTTTGGGTCTCTCGTCTCTGAGCAGTGTCACACCTGCAAAACAAAGCACCGATCTGCGATTAAGTGCCTCTAATGAAAATATTAGACAACCTTCCAGCACAGACACAGAGCACAAGAGCATGGCAACCCAGAAATCCCTTAGCGTCTGCGGAGCTAAGTGTTAAAGGTGCTGCCTGAGTCAGGGCTCTGGGTGCCTTACTTGGCCTGCCCAGAGGAGCTGTGACTCAATGAGCCACCATTCTGGTGACCAGGAGATGCTTGACCTGGGAGTCAGAGGCAACGTTGACCTCCCAGTCCACGGTCTGCATTTAAGCTTGCAGACCAGGAAGACGAGAGGCAAACAGGCTTTGGAATCCACCTGCTTTGGACCTCTCATTCTGCCACTCATCCAGTCTGGGTTGGGCCAGATAACACTTTCACACTTGAATTTTCTTGGATAGAAAAGGAGTGCCCTGATACTTATGTAAAGGGTTATTGTGCCACCTGAACGAGATACATAGACAGTGTTGAGCCACACCTGTGAGCCCGAGTCCCCTTCTCCTTTCCCTTCACATGGGCTAGTTCAGTTCCCCTTTCAAAGGAATGGGTCAGCAGCAGGAAGTCAGAATTAAATATGTTCTTCTAACACCTGGGGAAAAGATTGAGCTGGGGCTCTGGACATGTCATTCCTAAATGTCAGGACTGGTGGGTGATAAAGTTTACATGGTTCAGAGCAAAAGGAGAAGTTCAAGGAAGCGCAGTGAGTGCTCATAAAGTTCTGTGGCTATAATTTGAAAAGGTTGTTCTTCGTTTTTATTTGATTTTCTTCTTTGGGAATGAAAATATCCTTTCTTTTTGGAAATTTTAGGAGCATCAGATGGTTGTTTTTTTAGTAGTCTTACTAGGCAAAATTCAAAACTCTCCCTGTGTTGGGCTCCAATATAGTTTATGTTTTAAAAGTTTACCAGTTGTTGGAATTCAGAGGACTGAGCACAGTTTTCTGGACTGATCAGCCCAGTGAAGACCACCCAAGGAGGCTGGGTGGTTCTGCTCATCCTGTAAATTATGAAGTAGGGCCATTTTAATAAAAAGACAAAGGAAGCTATGATTCAAGGCGAGTCCTCCATGATTTCTGTCATCCTCTCCTGGCAACCACCACTGCCTTGCATTGCCCCCACATTCTCACAATTAGAGACCTTTCCATTCATTAAGCATTTTACAAAGATCTAAACATGAGGGTAGAAAGCTGTGCACCACAAGAGGCCTTTCTACAACACTGGACTCCATTCAAGAGTGGCAAATTAATGAAAACTATGTGTTGATCTTAATGACTATTCATTTGATTCAGTTCCTAGTTTGTTCATATGGGTTCTTTACCAATTAGCTGATATTTATTGGAGGAGAAAAACAATTTCAAGAGTCTGGTTAAAACTGAGGATTTTGCATAAATCACTTACGAAACACAGTGGGAGATATTTTCTCTTCTACCAGCTGCAAGGAGGTTTGGATTTTTATTTGGAATTAAGGCTATCATGGTAGGAGAACAGAAGTAAACTAATGCTAAGTCCCCAACCTTTCCATCCTGATTTCCTTGATATCTTTTCACATTAAGCCAGATTTGAGTTGATTCAAAGTGGGGAAGAGTATTTAAATTGCCAGATCCCAGGGCACTTGGTTGGCTCGCATGGTTAAGCATCTGCCTTCAACTCAGGTCACTGTCTCTGGGTCTTGGGATAGAGCCTCATGTAGGGCTCCCAGCTCAGCGGGGAGTCTGCCTCTCCCTCTCCCTCTCCCCCTGCCCATGCTCTCTCTCTCTCTCTGTATCTCTCTGTCTCAAATGAATAAATAAAATCTTAAGAAAAATAAATTTCCAGATCCCAGTCAAATTTCTGATTATTTGGGGTATTGTTGAAACCTAGTCAGATGAGCATCTGGGCCAAAAAAAAAAAAAAAAAAAAGTCCTAGGATTTCAGGGAAGGGAGGAGCCTGTTTAGTCATCAAGGTCAGCCCTTCCCAGAGTAGGCTAGGCTTTCCACAGGGACACAGGAGGTGATTTCAAGTGGAAAGTGAACTAGCATTTGTATTGGTAGAATTAAGCATTCTTTTTAGAGGCTGAAATCAGTGACTCCTTTGTCATCAATACATTTTTATTCTTGATGCTTCAGATCTTCGACTTTGTTCCTTTGAAGATGAATGAGGTTGATATACACTAAGGTCTGATTACCTTAGTCCTGATCCTCTGTTCTGTGGGAAGCAGAGATGTGTCATTGAAGGAATGTACACTAGAGCCAGAAAGCTTTGCCCTCCTTGGCTGTCATTTGACTTTAAGAAAGTCACTTAACCTGTCTGAGTCTCAGTTTATTCATCTGCGAAACTGGAGAAAAAAAATAAATCCTATCTCCCCCAGGGGGTGACGCTGCCTGGTAGACATAGACCAACATTCTTCAATGCTTCCAACACACTTTTACATGAACCTCCAGTAAAGCATGTTTCACACTGCAGGAATCACTGGGCAATACAACCATCTCCCCTACCGAACCCTGAGGTTCTTAAAGGATATTCTAGCATCTAGTGCAAGGGTTAGGGTACAGTAGGGGTTTGGAAAATGTCAGTTTCTACCCTTCCACTCTCTGTGGAGGAGAGTTTATGGAACTTGGCTGTTTGTTAGAACCTGGTATGTTTTTAAGGCCAAAGCTTTCAGTCCCAGGTCTCTAAGGGTCAAGAGTTAGCCTTGTAGCAAGCTGTTTTAGGCCATGATCCCATTCAGAGCTGGTCACCTGCATTACAGATGTATGCCTCTGATCTAGGGAGCTGGGGCTAAGACACCTCCTATCCTGGCAAGCCACAGCAAAGAGAACACTCGATTCCCAGCAGGACAGAGGAGGTGTCACTTTCAAAGGACACAACAGTCCCCTTTCACCAAGTATATTATTGAGCTTTGATTTCCAAATATTCATAGCTCATGGGACAATTTTCCAAAAAGCTTCTTTTCAATGCTTCTGGCCTCATGATTCTTTACTTTCTCTGGTTCCCTTTGCCACAGAGCTTAACTAAAGACTTCTTTTTCCTTTAAGCAGGTCTCAGCTACTTAGATCTTACTAATCATAACCCAGTGAACCCTGCCATGTAGTCGCCAAGATGGGGGGCCCTGGCAAATGTGGGCCAAGTTGGGAACAAACGTTAGGTTGGCAAGGAAGCCGGAGATGACTTCTCACTGAGGAGTTGCCTGGCAGTTGGAACCTGTCAAATAAGCTCATTAACCTAGGGGAATGAAGGTAGTTAGCAAGAGATTTAGAAGAGAGAGATAATCCTTGTCCAGTCTTCACTTGCCAAGGGCTAATGAGAGGAGATGTCTCCAGAGTGCATTTGTCTGTGAGTTCCTCTCAACACCCTTATTAGAACCAATATGAGTCTCTCTGAACATCTGCCGAAGGCTCTATCCTTATCAGCTTAACTAGCATTTCGATTACTGCCAAATCTTTAGATACTAAAAGGCTCTTCAAAAATAAAGTGCTTCAGCTAATATGCTAATAAAAGCTAGAGTCATAGAACACCATCTATAATTGCAAATACAACACAGAGATTTGCTGATTCAAGGAATTCCATAATGTGTATAGAGTCCATGAATATACAGCCTCCCTCTCCAACTCTGTGTGCTTTGCCTTGTTTAAGAAACATTTTTTTTTATTCAACTAGGAAGCTGCTCTCCTAAGATGTAGATATTGGGATGCAGGCAGCATCCACGGCCAGATAAATAGGGCTCAACATTCTAGGAAGTCCCTTGAATCAGTGGGTTTATATGGAAAGGTAAAACACTGTGGCTAGGAACATTCTTACCTTTAGAAATGATTTGAGTAATCTCAAGGAATATAAGGCTGAGGGGAATGGAAGGAAACTGACATTTACTGAGGACATTCAAAAATCCAGTATCTGTGCTAAGTGCTTTATGTGCTTTATTTAATTATGTTAACAATCCTGGGAGACAGATTTTATGGTCCTCCTTTCAGAGAAGGATGAAATGAAGGAGGCTCTTTTGTTTATGCTAGTTGCCCAGGGTCACAAAGCTAGAATGATCAGAACCAGAGATCAAACTTAAACCTTCTTGCTGTGTGCTAAGGTGACTCTCTGCCCATAAATATTTTTGTTCCACTACCAAGTCTTCCCCTAGGAGGACTTCAACAAAAACAAATGCAAAAATAGGTAAAAAATAAAATCTCCCAATGAAGAACTTGCAACTGCAGAATTGCGATTCCAAATAGAATATCAAATCAACAGATACTTATTGAGCATTGTTATATAGAAGGGACCGGACTAGATATCAAGGTCAATACTAGCACAGTTCTCATGAATTCATCAAATGTAAGTCAACGTTAAGGACAGCTATGATAATGGCAGCAAGAGCCATGAAGACCATACTGAAACAGATGACAAAAATCTTGGTATTTGCATGCTCATGTCTACCACAGAGTTAGTTGAGAATGGAAAGGATTCATTTTGGACTTGGAGGAGTCTGTTAGCAGAGGCTCTGAACTGGTTGAGTCTTGAAAGGTGACTGGAACCAGGACAGAAGCAGAGCTTAGGGGGGAAATGTGTGGTGTGTCGGAGGATCAGTGCGGGTAGGAATGTATGTCGCTTATGAGAAGCGTGTTTGAGGCAGTTCAGATCCTGCCACTTGGTCCTCAGTCCATTTCTCCAGAGAAGTGCCTCCTCAGGCCCCATGCCTCTTTGCCTGGATCTGCTCCACAGAAATCAGCAACCTTGTCTGCACCCCTGACTGCCTATTCATGATGTCTTCTTCTTAGTCTTCTTTCATTTTTTTCTTTATTAAATAAAATAATTAGCAAACATAGTTCTATAACACAAAATCTCATCTCCTCCCAAAGTGTCCCTTCTCGAGTGCCATAGTGCTGAAAGTCCCAACTATACCACAGTACAGTGAGAAACTGCCCACAGGAGGCACAGACCTGGCTTAGAGCTTCAGCTCTGCCACTCATTGCGTTTGATCTTGAACATAATTTGGTCCATTTATCTGTCCACCTAATCATCTCATCATCAATCCAACCAATCAGCCAAGAAGCTATCCATCCATCAATGCCATCTTTCAGTTTCTTTATCTGTAAAGGGAGTTAATAGCTACTTTTCTTGCGTTATTTAGCTGATTTTAAAAAATCCATGAGACATACCAAACTCAGTATCTAATATTTAGTAGGGTCTCAATAAACATGAGTACATTTTCTTCTCTGCCACCTCCCTCTAAATATCTATATAAAACTCACACACATGCACACACATACTCACTCTCAGTCTAATGATCTAATCATGAGTGTACATGTCTTATTCCCTAACCTCCCCATAAAATTGTCAGGGAGAAGACTACACTTCACATACTGGCTGCTGTATATAGCCTTGGGCTGTGCACAGAGTTCGGCAAGATTTGGGGGTTTGATTCGACACATATTAATATAGCTCTCATGAAGACGATACTTTTGGGATTAAAAAAAAGTGATATCTTGCCATTTGCAACTGCATGGATGGAACTAGAGGGTATCATGCTAAGTGAAATAAGTCAATCAGAGAAAGACAATTATCATATGATTTCACTTCTACATGGAATTTAAGAAACAAAACAGAGAATCATAGGGAAAGAGAGGGAAAAATAAAACAAGACAAAATCAGAGAGGGAGATAAACCATAAGAGACTCTTAATCATAGGAAACAAACTGAGGGGTGCTGGAGGGAAGGGGGGTGGAGGGATGCAGTAACTGGGTGATGGACACTAAGGAGGCATGTGATGTATGAGCACTGGGTATTATACAAGATTGATGAATCATTGAACTCTACCTTTGAAGCTAATAATACATTATATGATCATTAATTGAACTTAAATAAAATAAAATTTAAAAAATAAAATAAGTTAACTTTATTATGGGAGTTTTCAAAATAGAACTATGTATTTAATACTTGTTAACATTCTGTCATTTTTGTTTTATCTAATTGTCTTTATTTTTGAGTATTGTAAAGCAAACTCCCTCTAACATTTCCATATATAGCTCTAACACTAAAAGCTTTTTAAAACAGTAACTAAACTGCCATTATCATACCAGAAAAAATTAACAATAAATACACAATTTCATCTAAAAAAAAAAAAGATGATACTTTCAGGAATCATTTCTAGAGTTTGCTACTAAAGGTAGCTCTCACTATTTCTACGCCTCACTTTCTCTCTCTCTCTCTCTCTCTGTCTCTCACAGTGAAGATCTGGTCAATACATCCAGCCAGGTGTCGGGAGAATCAGCCAACATTTGTAGGATGCATGATCCATGGAAGGCTGGGGAGGAGGAGATTTCAACTCTTTTCAAGGACCCACTGACATTTCTATTTCATTGGCTCAGTGGACCTGCCCAGATCTGCTGAAGCACAAGGAATGCTCTGAAACCCCCCACCCCAGTTCCAAGTCAGTCCTTGGGGAGCTGCCAGAGAAAGTAAGCCTGAAAGGCAGCAGTAAACTCTGCTACCCCCACAGAGTGCTTCTGGGTGACACAGGACAGAGGCCATGCCCGTGGTACCTCCAGATGGCAGGGCTCCTGAGCTGTTCCCATCACCCCCTGCAAATGCCTTGCATCAGCTCTTTTACCTGCTGCAAAGGGGGACACATGCAGGGCAGGTGTGTCTTTTCTCCTTGGTTTTTTCGGTTCCAGGTCAGTGTTATGAAGAGCTGGACTCATCTTGCCTGTTGGGTGTCTCTCCTGAATGTCGTATCTCTTAATTAAGTGTTCTGAAAGCACACCTGCATGGTTAGGGGAACAGAGGGAGAAACACGGTCAAATACGTCTATCCTGGGATGCCTGGGTGGTTCAGCAGGTTAAAGCCTCTGCCTTTGGCTCAAGTCATGATCCCAGGGTCCTGGGATCGAGCCCCGCATCGGGCTCTCTGCTCGGCAGGGAGCCTGCTTCCCTTCCTCTCTCTCTGCCTGTCTCTCTGCCTACTTGTGATCTCTGTCTGTCAAATAAATAAATAAATAAAATAAAAATAATACAGCTATCCTGATACGTAAGGACGATGCATGCATATTTGCACATATCCCTAGTGATGGTAGTCAACATAGCTTTTCAAACTTATTTTAACAAGAACTTTTTTTATATTAGAAATTCACATCTATTGAATCTATGATACAAAGGGTTTTGCATGCCTGATTTTATTTTAGCCTCACAAAACCTGGAGGAATTTAATATTACTACCACTATCACCTATCTGGGGAAGGCGAGGCAAAGCAAACACGCCCACAGTGACACAGCTTGTAGGGGGCCAAGCCAGGAAGCCAGCCCAGGTCTGTCCTCCTCCGAGGTCCATCCTCGTGAGGGTGGTGGATCATTTGCTTCTCTGTAAGCCATATGCTCGGCTCTTCAGTGACCTCCCTGCCTTCTCACTTCTCCCACACATGGCATTTCTCTCCATCATTTACAAACTCCCTGAAAATAGCCTCTTCTATATAACTTTCCACAATCCACTGCCCAGGCTGAACTCCTGAGGTCCTTCTGGAAGGACGTCATTACAGCCTTACAGCTTACTGCATATTTCAGCCATTTGTGTGTTTCCATTATTTCTCAGAGGACTGACAGTTCCTTCTCAGGAAGCTCTGTGTTCCATTTGTTTTGTCTCCCTCCAAGTGGCTTGTGAGTGGAGAGAACATTACATCAGTGGCCCAGAGGGAAGGAGAGAAGGAAATAAGAACACACAAAACTCTGGGGAAACGAGAGAGTCACACATCACACATGAGGTTGTTACAGAGACATGTTGGCTGTTCCCCAGACCATTTTGCTTTTCTCCTGGGCACACAGCTGGGCGACATCTCTCTGCTGCCCTCGCAGTCAGGGGACATTTGTGGGTCACTTTCGGGTGGGCCAGCCTTCCAGTCTATTCTGCCCCTCCCCCCAACCCCGCCACCTCTCCTACTTCCTTCGTCCCCCTGCCTGCCAGATGCTGATGCTCATGGTGACTTTGAATGCCATGTGCCAGTGATGTCCGAACTCTCATCAGCTGGAGTCCCTGAATTACCATTTGGAGCAGAACCTGCCTCCCCAGCTCGCACTACTGATGAGTGAAAAAAACCCTTGCGTTGTACCGCTAACATTTTGGAATTCGTTTTCTATAGCAGCTGGCCATATTGTAACGAAGATAGGTGCAGGGATAGTACCAGTGATTTAAAAACACCCAAATAGGTAAGGAAATTTTTCTAAGATCAATGTGATCTAGTGGTAGTGGTTCCCCCTCACAGACATGCAAACCGACCTTGTTGTCCATTACCTGGTATAAAAGGTGGGATGTGCAATGCTGGTGTATCTTTTCTCCTTGGCTTCTTTTGGTCTAACTCAACATTCAGGGCAACCTGTGCATTTTTTCCCTTTCTTGGCTTCTTTTTGAGATCACAGTCTTTAATGAGCTGGTCTGAAAGGTCATCTGATTTTGATAGGATGCAAAGAAAAAAAAAGAATATAACATGAGTAAGGTTTACACACAAACTGGTTGGTTTCCAATTACTTGTAGAAGCCATTTGGTCTGAAAAAGAAAAGGATTTATATATTTTGGGCTAGTCTACAGAGGACCTTCATAGTCTTGCACAAATATATAGAATTAGACAGAAAACTGGAATCGTCTATGAGACTCCAAATGACGAGAGCTCTAGGGGCTGGACAATCAAAGCAAAGAAGAACAGTTAGGCAAGTCAGAGTGGGCTTGAGTTAAATTTCTCATAGAATAGGTTCTCTGTGCTAAATGCCCTTTAATATCCTTTGTTCAAGGCTTGCTCTCTTGAAGACTGCATGGGCTGGTGCAGAGCCATGCATGCTCTTTAGTCTTTGGGGAAGGTTCTCTGCAAATTCCTCACCTGCCTTCATTTCTGGGGCCAGCCGGGTCACACTGACCATTCACACTTGCCTTCAGCATTGGTCTCTTCATTCACTTCCCCCCTGGCTTTGCAATTCTCCCATTTGCCCATCCTCACTCCAGGTCCTCTTGTCTTCTTACTCAGCTCTTTACCTTCCTCCGTGCCCAGAGCTCATGAAGCTTGGATTCTGCATCATATCCATCAGATGTCAGTGTGTGCGATAAGTCCAATCTGATCACTCCTCGCCCATGAGAGTATGTTCTCTGCTCCATCCAACTCCTCAATGCTTTGGGTGATGGCGTGCTTCTTTGAGCGTCTCTGTCATTGTTCTAGACAATGACACTTTTTATTTTTTTAAATTTCTTTTCTGCGTAACAGTATTCATTGTTTTTGCACCACACCTAGTGCTCCATGCAATATGTGCCCTCCTTAATACCCACCCTGGCTCCCCCAACCTCCCATCCCCCACCCCTTCAGAACCCTCAGGTTGTTTTTCGGAGTCCATAGTCTCTCATGGTTCACCTCCCCTTCCAATTTCCCTCAACTCGCTTCTCCTCTCCATCTCCCCATGTCCTCCATGTTAACAATGACACTTGTTTAATCTATCATGGTTTATCTCCTGCTCTTGATGGAGCCTTCTTGGAGATTAAGGATTATATCCTTTTGATAATTTAATTCTTAATTGCCTCTCCCTCCCATAAATGCGTCTTGAATGGATAAGTGGTATGGACTTATCTGAGTTCAATTGCGGACTCTGTCACTTACTAGTTCTGAGAACTTGGCCCTTAATTTCTAGGAACTTTAATATTGTCTCAACTTCTTAAGTGGGGATAATTTTAAATCAGTGTGTGTGTCTTTGTGTGTGTGTGTGTGTGTATGTGTATGACAGAGACAGAGAGAGATGACTACATTTGGTAAATGTTGAAAAGCAGTTGTTACATTTGATATATTTTAGATCCTCAAGAGAATGTTCACTCTGGTCATTGCTCACCCTCTAACCTTCTACAGGGTCCAAAGGAAGGTCGACCTCCCTGCCCTGTCTCCATAAGTCTTCCCAGTCTTAGGCATCCTTTCTCATTTTCTGGATATCTACAGGATTTTTGCTCATGTAGCACTTTTTCTGCATAAGTCTTCTCTGCCTTCTTTGATGACAGATATCTTGTATTTTATCCCCTTGAAAAAATTAATAAATATTTGTTGAATGTATGCTTGAATGAATGACCTCAAGCATGCTATGAATAAGGAGATAGTCCATTAAGGTTCAAAGAAGCCACAGACAATGAAGCTGTCTGCCTTCTCTGGAAACTCACTATGGTCTGGTTACCGTCTGGTACATCTACAACTGTGAATGAATTGGGGGAAATTTAGAGATTAACTCGATCTTTCCAGCCCCTTCTTCATTTCCTTCTTCCCCTCCTTTCTTTTTTTCTTGGTTCCTTTTTTTTTTAAAGATAGATTTATATTTTTATTTATTTAAAGATTTTATTTATTTATTTGACAGACAGAGAGCACAGGTAGGCAGAGTGCCAGGCAGAGGGAGAGGGAGAAGCAGGCTCTCTGCTGAGCAGGGAGCTTGATGCAGGGCTCGATCCCAGGATCCTGGGATCATGACCTGAGCTGAAGGCAGTTGCTTAACTTACTGAGTCACTCAGGTGCCCCAGGTTTATTTATTTGAGAGAGAGAGAGAGAGAGAGAGAGAGAGACAGAATGCATGAGCTTCGGGGAGGGACAGAGGGAGAGAATCTTTGAGTAGACTCCCTGCTGAGCGTTGAGCCCAATCCTGGGACCCCCGAGATCATGACCTGAGTAGAAATCAAAAGTCAGGTCCTTAACTGACTGAGTCACCCAAGTGCCCCTCTCTCTATTTCTTTTTATGAAAATATTCATGTCAGTGTCTTTAAAATATGGAGGATTAAATGTGTCAAACCTGTTCACTTCAGTTTTGTGGGTCTAGAGACAACCTGTGTCATTCATAATGTATTTATTTGACAAAAACTGATGAAGCTCGTCCTCTATGCCAGGCCTTGAGCAAGATTCTAGGACTAAAAAGACAAATAAGAAATAGTTCTTCTTTTGAAGTTGCTATGGTCTATTGGGCTTTATGTCTGGACAGTCCTTTGTTTTAGAAAACCCAATATACATGAGAAAACCACCATTAGAAATACTTAGTAACCACACATTATTATGCTTCCATCATCCAAAGATCACAGTACATAACCAAAAAATCAAACAACATGATTCTCTTCAGCCATATTTAATAGTAATAAATATTTCCTTTCTCCTAAAGGATTTGAATAAATCCATCCAATCATTTCAATTTAATAAACATTTATTGAGATCATACTGCATGTAAGGCACTGAACCATATGCTTTTAAGGTTACATATACAAGAAAAAAGAGGTGAGAGGGGAACTTAATTGAGTACTGCTTATATACTAGATGATTTCACATCCTTTAGTGTAAAAAATTCTTTATTTAACTTCAATTTCATCAACATACACTATATTATTATTTTCAGGGGTAGAATTTAGTGATTCATCAGTTGCATACAACACCCAGTACCCAGTGCTCATTCCATCAAGTGCCCCCCTTAATGCCCATCATCCCATCACCCCATCCCTAACCCTCCTCCCCTATGTTTCTTAAGGCCTGGCTGAAAATGCAACTTTAAAAAATTTATTGCCCCATAGCACAGTTAACTTCTCCCTGTATCATACATACCATAGACGTTTGTTGAACGAATACATATTGCTCAGAATGGGTGCTGCCCAGCTGTGGGGTCTCTGTAAGTACAGGCTGGATGTGGACCAGTCATGGGTCACCCTTCTACCCCAGGATACGACTCAATGCACAGTACAGGGAGCAAGAGATTTGCTACGATTTTGACTTTTACTTCCATTGCACTTTTTCCCCACTTTTGGAGAAATCCTAAACATAAACTATCTTGATGGCAAATGGGGAGAGGGGAGAGGCGGGGTGGGGGGGAGTCATAACCAGGCGAGACATAAACAAAGGCTATGAATATGCAAAAAGCCCATCCATCAAAAGTCTGAGTGTCTCATTTTTAGAAATGGGTAGAGGCAGAAGTGTTTCTGGTATTTTCATTACAAAGGTTATGCAAAAAGTCAGTTCTGGGAAGGAAACAGATTGACAATAAAGCAGAAAAAGGCTATTTAAAATTCTGTCTTGATAGGCAAAGAGAGATATTTGAAATATTTTATTGGCACGGCACATGGGGTGTAACTGTGCCGACAAATACTGGAAACAAACGTGCTGCCACGTTCCATTTATTGCCTCAAAAATGCTCTGCCTGGGACTCCATCAGACCCAAAAAAGAGGACAATGCCTTTTCTCGCTTTTTCTAACTCTAATGAACCTCTCTCTAGTGCCTCCACTAATATTTACATGGCAGACCCCACAGAGTCATGGCTATTTGCCTGTCCATCTGGTGTTGGTTGTCACCAGAAGGCCCGCATGATCAGGTTTCAGGGGGCCTCCCTCTGACATGCCTGAAAACCCAATGGCAGAGGCCCCTCCTTTCTGACTTCTGCTACTGCCATTCCCACTGGAGCTCTTACCTAAGTGGTCACAACGAGGGTCTAGCTTGTCCAGTCTGTCTTCTGAGAGCTCCAATGGCTGCATCTGCTCAGTGGACATCATCGAAGGAGGTGTTTCTTCTCCAGCACTACGGAAGCATAAGAAACAAGCCTACTAGTGTGTCCTCTGCTCATTTGTTCACTTGTGAAATAAGTATATTTATTGAGCACTTACTATTGTGTTTTCAATTTAATCCTATTTTTCAAATCTGCTTCTCTTACTTACCTACTAGAAGCTCTAACTTAAGATTTAAGTCAAAATAAGTGAAACAACACACACAAACACACATACACACACATGGATTTGTTGGTAATCGTCATGCATCAAATGTTCAATATTTATCTTCTTTCAGAAGCACTGTGGGAGTTTCAGAATGAATACTTGTCAATTCTGAATTAGAAATGAGTTAGCTGAGAATTACAGAAAATCTTGATTAACTCTTGCTTATATTTTTCTATTGAGTTCTGTGTAATAAGATTATGCCTTCTTCTCGGATGAAGAAACCAAGAATCAGAAAACACAATTAATTTGTTTAGTCACATAACTATTAAATAGCCAAGATCCAAGTTACTAAATAGCCTGGATCCAAATCTAGTTCTGAAGATTTCCAGTAGACACGCAAGACTCTCAGGCCGTGATTCCACTGAACATAAATTGAACCAAGCTTCTGGTTTTCTATCATTAAGTGCTATGTTTTATATGCACATGCGCATTAAATATATGTAGCATGTATGTAAATATTGCATTACACATATATAGCATGCAATGTACACTGTAAAATAACTACAAAGTAAAGAGATTTCCTCCCTATCCATATTCCAGGCGGTAAAGTCCTGGTAGGAAAAAAAATCTAACTCTTGAAATGGATCCTTATTATTTTCTCCTTAGAGAGTTCTGACATTAGAGCAAGTCTGCTCCCCCCATTTTTCCTAAACCACAAATCCATTGAACTTTCCAGAGCTATTAGTTGTAGCCCTTGTCCAGGAGGAGTGGAAATCCGGAATGGACATGTGTCAGGTCTGAATGAGAAATGCATTAGTTGAGACTTACAGAATTTGATTCTGTTTCTTTCTGATAATTTATTACTCATGTCCCATCATAATAAGAAGGCTTAGAGAGGAATAAGATTCAAATGACCCAAACTGATCCTTTTTTCTTAAGATTCCTGGATCACTGGTCTATGGATGAACACAGAGACCAGTGGTGTTAACATTTTGAGTAGAATGAGTTCAACTCCGTCGTCTTCTGAAGAATAAGCCAGTTTTCTCCAGGAAGCCTGGAGGGCCTCTCCCCCTACCAGCTGAGATCACTGCATAGCAGATGGAGCTGTTCATAGCTTCCTTGACCCTGGCTTTTAGTGTTACTCTGAGCACACTGATTGTACTGAGTGACTTTAGCATAAATCAATTCTGACCATTGCGTTAGTGTCTGTATAGAGACTGCCAGCTCCCCGGGAACAGAAGGAGGTATGTGGCTCACTTGGGAGGCTAGCTCCCACCTGCTTGAGTAGAGGGGGGAGCTATGGGACCATCAGTCCGGATGAGTGGGCTCAATGCTGAGGCCTCCAGGCGAAGTGACAGCCTCAAATACGGCCTGTGCACCTACTTAGCTATATCTTCCTCCTCTTTGGGCAGAAAATCAAGAGCTCTGTCCTTGACTTTGTGCTGAAAGTCACCCCACAGAGGACCTAGTCAAAAAATACTCATTCTCCAGAAAGTCAGCTGAGGCTCAAAAAGATTGAAGTCACCTAGTATTAGTGTCATGCTCAGAGTCAGAGTAATTGTTTGAACCCAGGCCTCCTGCCTTCTACTCTAGGTCCCATCTGGCAATGGTCCCCCTCTTGTTTTCTTCACCCACAGTCAGCTCTTCTTTGTACTTGGGTCATATGGCTTCTTCTGTGTGCCCAATAGTGGGTTATTTAATCTGAATCTGAGTTTTGAGTTCCAGTGGATCCAGGTAAAATTTCAACCCTCTACCTAAAAAACTGTATGACTTCGGTGAAGAAATCTTTGGGATGTAGTGAGGGTGAATGGAGCCCAATTACAATATAATCACATTTGCCCTTTCTTCTTACAAGCGACAGCCGCTGTGCTAGAATGAGTGAAAGCTAGTTAGCATCTTTGTGGTGCACCCATAGCTGGGCACCCAAGGACATGGGTCCCTTTCTGTCCCCCTATCCCATTCCTATCCTCCATTTTCCTATCCGTAAAATAGAGATATCAATATCTACCCCACCGAGTTACTCTAAGGGTTAACTAGAACAGCTCCCTGCTTTGTACACTGTGCGTACTCAGTCTATGACAGTCATTGTTCTGTAGCTGATGAAGTCCAGCTTGTATAAGCAAAAAGTACTAAAAATAATCGAATCTTTCATTTTCGTCTAGATACCAAACCACAGGAGAGCCAGGCTTCATTGGAGCAAAACAGCTTTCAGAGTACTGGACTTGAGAGAGAGAGAGAGAGAGAGAGAGAGAGGCGTCCCCCTAACAGGGGAGTCGTGCCAGTGTCCGAAGTCCCTGGACAAGGCAAGGACCCACGCTTTCCCCCCAAGATAGTACCTAGTGTCCACGGGGAAACAACAGTGGTTTAAACCAGTGTGATTGCAAGGGTGCCAGCAGTGGACTGCCCAGCCTCCGTGCGTTAGGGGGCTGAAAGATGGTTTTCAGATTGGGGCTTTTACAGCAAAAAAATACTCTGAGCTGGGCAAGGGTGTGTTTGCCCAGGGGATTAGAAGAGACTTTTATGGTGGATGATGTCATTAAGCTCTTCTGGGCAGAGAAGTTGCACACAGAGAAAGGAACAAATACGCAAGGAGATGGAGGTTTGGTGTAGTGTCACCTTAGTAACTGTCGCTTTACCTGCCTGTTGAGCGTTACTGTAAGATGACCCCGTCTCCCCACCCGCTCACCACTCCTCTCCTCAGGGAGAAGGGCTGCGCTTGGTGAGTGAAAACACTGTTAGACGTGAGCCAGTCTAATTCTTGAACTAAGAAATGGAATATTTGGGGGCCTCCTGGGTGGCTCAGTTGCTTAAGCATCTGCTTTCGGCTCAGGTCATGATCCCAGGGTTCTGGGATCCAGTCCTACATCAGGCTCCCTGCTCAGCGGGGAGCCTTTTTCTCCCTCTGCCTGCTGCTCCCCCTGCTTATGCTCTCTCTCTCTCTCTCTGGCAAATAAATGAACAAATCTTAAAAAAAAAAAAAAGAAATGGAATATTTCCACTTATGATTCCTGATCCTGCCCATGCTTTCCTTTCATTAATTTAGCCTCCCTACTCCATGCACTGGCCAGAGGACCCTGCTCTGGTCATTCTGCCTAGGAAGATTTCATCGTCTCCCTCAGCAGCTCTCTGTTCAGGAGCTTCTGAAATGCTGGCTCTTCTTGCATTCCTAAATTCCTGGTCCCTCAGGTGTTCAGATTCCAACCAGGGGGCTAGCCCCCCCCTTCCTTAAAGATTTTATTTATGTATTTGACAGAGAGAGAGAGAGATCACAAGTAGGCAGAGCAGCAGGCAGAGAGAAAGGGGGAAGCGGGGCTCAATCCCAGGACCCTGAGATCATGACCTGAGCAGAAGGCAGAGGCTTAACCCATTGAGCCACCCAGGCGCCCCAGTTTAGGGCCCTTCGTACGTGGTACCTTGTGGGGATTGCATGAACTGTTCTCTAGCACAAAGGTTTGCGACCCTTTAACCTTCTCTTGCGGTTTCTTGTGTGCCTGGTGAGATCTCTGGATTTTAACAATCACACAGTGACATATGTGGATGCCGTTGTGCTCCCCTCCCTCCCCTGGAAAACATGGGGCCATGTCAGCCATGGGAATCAGGAAATATTTCCTACATGACCCTCTTAAGAGGGGTCGCAGGAAACCCCACCGTCACACCCACTACTTCCATAGCAAAAATATGAACATGTGCACCAAATGCCATGAATAAAAACTACACCAAGGTTCATATCCTCTCAGCTCAGGTCTTGCTATCAGATACATTTATGTTGAGTTTAAGAACAATTAAGAACTTCTGGTCTTCAGAGTTTTTCAGATTTCTCAATTAGAGAATAAAGGATGGTGGGTCTGTATTAACTTTCTCGATGCCATTTGAGAGAATGAGGACGGCTTGGTGTAGCATGTGTAGGAGGGAAACCAAGCAATAGGCTTTCAGGGGTTTGAGGAGGTTTTCAGGACCCGATATTAAATATTAGCAACTTCCTCTTGCTAATTTTTACCTTCCTTTTCACAAGAGACAAAGCCCTTCTTCTCACAGAGAGACACTTGCAAATTCAAATACCACTGAGGGAGGGGCTACAGTAACTGACATCACACAACACACAGGTCACCTGTGCATTGAATGGCAAGAGTCACCCTTTCTTTTGAGAATAGGACCTGGAACACCAGGGACCTGGGAAGGAACTCCAGAAGAATGCAGAAGGACAGACAAGGCAGGGCGGCTGCTGAAGCTGAGGACAGTGTGGGGGGAGCCCACCTCCACCAGCACAGAGCCCGCTCCTGGTTTAGGGCAGGAGTGCCAGTTCCTCAGCTAAAAACATCCATCAGTTCAATCTGAGGTCGGAAGTGAGTCTGGGCATTTTGTCCTTCTTGATACCGAGTACGTTCCTTAGTTGGATGTTAGAATATGAAGTTTAACTCAAGGTCACTGACAGCAAGCATTTGGTGCAATATGGGATAGAAGCAAATATTTGATTACCTGTACCACTCTCTAGCTGGGTGAACTTGGAAAAGTGGTATGCCCTCCTGGAAACTTAGTTTCCACATCTGTAAAGTGGGCTGATGGTGGCTTTTCTCCAGGACTGAGAGTATTCACAATACACTGTGTGTAAGGTTCCAGCCCAGATCCCAGCACATGCTGACACTTCAAGAAGTGTAGGTTGCTTTGTTTGTTCTTTGCATCCTCCCTTTGTGATTATGACGTGTATATCTCAACTGAACCATTGGAACCATCTCCTTGCCCCATCTCTGGCCTTCTCTGAAGCTAGTAATGAGATTAGTGCGATCCAAGCTTCCAAGCTACAAACCAATGGGGGACACCCCCCCACCCTGCCCCACTTTCCAAGTTTGGCGAACGTGGTACTACTGATTGTCAGGAGCGAGCTGACACTTGGCTTAGTAGTAATGAAATTTCAAAAAATTCTAAAGAATTTCCCCAAAGTAATCAATTCTGGACTTACTCGATGGAATAAAAAGTTAGAAGGTTATGACCACAGTCCAATGTGGTGTCTGATGATGTACAATTCATATCCTTTGTCAAATCTCTTTTTAACTAGAGGATTGAATTCAGGTCAAAAAGTACTACATTTTAAAATCAAGTTTGTTCATTAAAAGACAAATGTGCAGTATTCCTCCTAGGAGTGACTCTTCCTTGAAGTAGGGCATGGAAAGGGTTTTTTACTAAGCACACTCTCCCCAGCCTCCTTCACCTTTTGAATACACAGATATACCAATGTTCCTCTGGAAACTTAGCAACTGAATTTGCGAAAATTCTGACTCTCACAGAATTCAGGATTCTACCTTCCTTAGAAAAAAATGTCTTGAGGGTGATAACTTTCCCTGTTCCCATCTAGCCCCAGCTTAGCCTTGCTCCAGAAAGCTCACTCCTGCCCCCACCCCCTACCCACCACCCTTGCTCCACCAGCTGCAGCCCTCTTTGTCCCAGCAACCATAAAGAACCTGTAACTTATTGGGAATTTGCTTTTCTTGCCATGAAAGTTCTTGGAGTAAAAATCGGAGGCACTTACCAATGAGTGCAGGCGCTGGGATGAGGCGAGAGATGGGGAGGGCAAGCCTTCTCCCTGAAGCTGGGCAGGCTTTTCTACAGCAGTGGCTGCTGCCGGGCTCCAGCTCCTCTTATCTAGGGACCAGCTGCTGCTGTTGCCATGGGGATGCTCCGTTTCACAGGCGCCAGGGCAAGGGGGATGGAGAGGGAAAGAGGACTGATCTCGCTGCCACTGTTCCCGACTGCAATAATTGTCCGTTTCAAAAACACAATATGGAGTTGTGCTTTGAGTACCTAGTTTGCAAGGCTGGAGAGATCCAGACAAGCCAGCTAGACACTTTAATCTCTGAAACCACCCTATGTAGTAAGGTTTTTGGTGCCTTTTTTGGGGGGAGGAGGGGGCTGATTTTGCAAATACAGTAGATGGGGCACAGTCAGATTAAGTGACTTGCCCAAAAGGTACCACAGCTGATTTTAATGCTTTAATCTACTTGAGTTTAAATTCCAAGTACTTTCACTCACCACCTGGGCCTCCTGGAGTAGTATCAGGGTGAGAATAGTAGCAAGCAATCACTGACATTTACAGTAGGCTTCAGGTGTGCTAATCACTCTTCTTTACATCTACCAAATCATTGCCAGAGAAGCAGCTGTTCGCATCCCCATTTCACGGATGGGGCGCTGAGTTGATAAATCATTGCGCAAGACCTCTCTGCTAGTAAATGGTAAGGCCAGAGTTTGAGCTGGGCAATGGGATCTAGAGTCCATGCTCTTAACCAGTTTGCAGTACTGCTCGCCCAAGAGAGCATTTCACGGTGAAGAAAGCAGCCCTCACTATCTGGGGTGGGATGTAGAGGCCAGAGAAAATATGCTCCTTCAAAGGAATGAAAGCAAATGTTCTAATATGAGGAATTCCCATGCACTTCAGGAAAGGGCAGGGGGAGCAAAAGGTGTTGAAGCGAGGCTGGTGGTGTGATGTGCTGTCATATAGAGAGGAAGGGTCTGTGTTTGGGGCAAGCTCACTGGAGGAAATGTCCTATGCTGACCGGAGGAGCAGTTTGTAGTCAGTGGTCTGGGCATGAAGAGTAGGGCAGTTAGTCTAGGGGATGAGGTAGGGATCAGTGGGAGGGGCTTGAGATCCCTGAGGGCAGCCAAAAGACCACCCACCAATGAGGCCCGAGAGATGGATTCAAGGTACAGTGCAATCCACACATGGGGTTTCCTCTCCTTCCAGAGGCTGTAGGCAGCATGGGTCTCGAGAAGCCACCCGCTGGCTTCAATCACCTGTTATCACCAGTACTGAGTGGTTGACTCCCTCTTTCCATTTGCCACCATCCCAAATAATAGGACTGGAACCATATGAAACTCAACCTGAAGTTGACTCCTAGGGTTAGAATTTATTCAGAAGTCATGGTCACAAATCTGCAGGGAGCAGGCTTCCTTGTTAGAGCCGTTTGTCTTGGTCCTTCTTGGAATCTCCTGGAGAAAGATGGAGGCTGCCAATGCTCCTGGCTAGGAAGGGAGGCTCTGGATGCTAAGAGAAAGTCCCTAGAAACAACTCTCTGTTCTCAACTGCCTACTTTATCTTCTTATCAATAGCCTTTTTGGCCAGTGGGTTAGCAACATCTTCGTTTCCAAACCTGAGTGGAAAAAATACACTTTCTTCCTAAACTCTTCACTTCTTTTTTAAAATTAAACATTTTTTGAGATAATTTAGATTCATATGCAGTTATAAGAAATAATACAGATAAGTCTTCTGTACCCTTTAAGCAATTTCTTCCAGTGGTGCTATCTTGCAAGACTATAGGAAGTATCCCAAGTGGTATATTGGTGCTGATACAGTCAAGATATCGGATGATCCCATCACCACAAGAATCCCCCATGTTGCTCTTAACTAGTCACACCCACCTGCCTCCCCTACTGTTCCTCATTCTCCCTGCTTCCACTGACCCCTTAACTCCCCCAACTACTGATCTAGTCTCCATTTCTATACTGTTGGTGTTTCCAAAATATTATATGCATGGAATCATATAGTATGAAATTTTTTGGATTTGGCTTTTTCTCCCCACTCAGCATTATTCCTGGTGATTCATCCAAATTGTTTCATGCATCAATAATTTGCTCCTTTTTAATTACTGCCTGATTTTCCATGGTATGTGCTAACACATAACCATATACCTGTTGTAGAGCATCTGAGTTGTTCCTAGTGCTTGGCTATTACAAATAAAGCTGTTATAAAAATTCATGTACAGGCTTTTGTATGAACAGAAGTATTCATTTCTCTGAGATAAATGCCCAGGAGTGCAATTGCTGGCTTGCATGGCAGTTGCATGTTCAATTTTATAAGAAACCGCCAACTTGTTTTCCAAAGTGGCTCCCCCATTTTCTATTTCCACCAGCCACTTAGGAGCGATGCATATTTGCCAGCATTCGGTGTTGTTAGACTTGTTTAAAGTCATTCTCATAGGTATAGGTGTAGTGGTGTCTCACTGTGGTTTTAGTTTGCATGCTCCTGTAGACTAATGATGTTAAACCTCTTTTCCTGGACTTATTTGCTATCTGGACGTTTCTTTGGTGAAACATCTCTTTATGTCTTTTGCCCGTTTTTTCACTGGATTGTTTGTCTTTTTACTATTGAGCTTTAAAATTTCCTTACGTATTCTAGATACTCGTCCTTTCTAAGAAGTACAGTTTTACAAATATTTTCTCCCAGTTTAGGGAGTTGTCTTTTCAAACTCCTAACAGCATGTTTCATAGAGTTCAAGTTTTAAATTTATATCAAATCTCATTTACCATACATTTATTGATAAATTTTAAAACACAGATAGTTGAGAATATTTCCAAAGCTCTTCAGAGAAGCTGGACTGTGTTAGGAATTTTAAAATACTCTTTCTTCACTTAATTTCCCCAACTCAAGGAAATCTTTCAAAGAGAGAAAAGAGTATGAGTTCCTTATTTCCCTTTGGACAGATATGTGTACTTATTCCAAGTTCAGGTTGTTGTGGTGGCGTTTTTTTTTTTTTTTTTTCCCAGGGCTTTCTACACGTACTTTAATCCATTATGCCCACCACCCCCCTTTTAAAGCAGATGTAAACAGCAACTGAGATGGCAGATGGTAATGTAAATCTATACCTCAGAGAGCTCTAAGTAACAGCCACATATGTGCAGTGTTGAAGTCATAGACCCCTTGGCCTACAGCGCTCCCAGTGTAAGTGCAAAGAGCCATTGTATCCACGACATGATTTGTAGGTCCAAGAACCCTCTGATGTGTGGCTCATTTGGCTTCTGGCTTCATTCCTGATGGTTGCCTAATGGTAACTAGCTTTAAATGAATATATTTTCATATTAATCACAAATATTCAATCTTTATGAATGAGAATGATCACAGTGATGAACATTTCCAGATAATTTATCTTAGTCAATAGCTATCAAGTGTGCACTTGAAATATTTGCCTTCTGAAATCAATCTAAGGCCGTTTCTGTGCTGAGGGGTGATGGGGCTCCAGTTTCTCAATCAAGGGAGAGAGAGAAAGAGAGAGCGAGAGAGCATGAAAGCAAGCTCAATGAAAATTTTGCAGGCGCTGGTTTTATCCCAGACATCTTGCTAGATCTCTTTGGTTGTCTCTTTTAGCACTTAGAGAGGAGAAATAACTGTTTTGGATCAATATCTTCTGGTAAATAAGTGTCTATGTTCTTGCTTTGGGCAGCTCTGAACACCTTTTAGCTCTTTGTAACAGAAGATTATTTGAATTGATCAATAACAAACTCTGATATCATTTATTCTCATTGGATTAAAAATTAAAATATAAAACACGCTTTATGTTTCATAAATAAACTGACAAATACTTAGTAAGTGCTTGTTGAAATAAGAGGTCATGTTATTAATTTATTTGAGATTATTGTAGATACACATGAAATAATACAGACTCCTTTCTCTATTGTCTTTTGTGCTATCATTTGTTGGTTTTGCTATCTAACAGTGCTGACCTTGTATAATGATTTGGGAAGTATTCCTGTTTTTTTTTTTTTTAATTTTTTAATTTTTTTATTTCCTGGAAGAAACTATGATAAGCTCATGTCATTCTATTCAAATGTTTAGTAGATTTTCCATTAAAACCACCTGGGCCCAAAAATTTATTTGGGGAGCCTTCAAATTACAAATTCAATTTCATTACTGATTCCAGTGCTGTTTCATCTTGGTTAAATTTTGGCAGTTGGTAGTTTTCAAGGATTGGTCCATTTTTTCTAAGTTATTGAATGTATGAGCCTAAGTTCCTCCTTTATTATCTTTTCAATGGCTGTAGAATATGTAGAGATACTCCCTATATCATTCTTGATACTGGTGATTTTGCCTTCTATTTGTCAGTCTAGCTAAAGGCCTATCAATTTTATTGATTCCCCCCCCCAAAGAACTAGTTTTGTTTTATTGATTTTCTCTATTATTCTCCCTTTTTTCAATTTCATTGATTTCTCCTCTTCTGTGTATTACCTCTCTTTTTCTGCTTGTTTTGGATTTATCTTGTCCTTCTTTTACTAGTTTCTTGAGGTAGGAACTTAGGTTACTGATTTGAGAACTTTATCCATTTTGAATGTAAGTACTAATGATATAAATTTCCCTCTAACACTGCTTTAGCTGCATTCCACATATTTTGATTTGCTGTAGCTTTATTTCTATTTTATTGTATGTACTTAAAGTTTTTTGACACTTCCTTTTTGACCCATAGGTTGTTTAAAAAAGGTTAAAATAGGTTGTTCAAAAGTTATTTCATTTCCACATGTTTGCAGGTTTTCCTATTGTCTTTTTGTTGTTGATTTCCAGTTTGATTTTATTGTAGTCGGAGAGCACACTTTGCATAATTTCAATTCTTTAAATTTGGAGGTTTGTTTTATGGCCCCCAAAATAGTCTAGCTTGGTGAGGGTTCTATGATTTCTTGAAAAAAATGTGGAGGGAGTGTTCTCTGTTTTTCAATTAGATATTTTTGGTTGATTGTGTTGTTCGGATCTTCAAGTTCTTTGGTAACTTTTTGTCTAGTTGCAGAGATGGGAGTGTTGAAGTCTCCAACTTTTATTGTGGATTTGTCTATTTCTCCTTTCCATTCTATTAGTTTGTGC